GGTCCCATCATCACGCCATGTAACCATTAAAGGGACAGCGGGTGAATAGCAATGAACAGACTACAGCAGAAGTCAGAGAGGACAGTACCAGCCTTGTCCAGCAGGGGGCTCCATCTCTCCGTCACCGCGAGTCTCTCGGTTCAAAGGATATGTATTTTTACAGACTTTTCAGTCTGTTTGACCGCAGATTTATTCCAGTTGGTCGCCGGGTGTTGATTTTCTAACCAACCGTTTAAACCCACGGTTCTGGCGGCGCCGCACGAGGCGACGGCTGTTGTGATTTTGGGCTCTGTACAAAAATAAATTGAAGCGAGAATTGGAAATAAATGGAACTGTTCAGAAAGCATGAGATTCGTGAGAGATTTACAAAGTCATTAATATCGAGGCTGAAACACTGACCTTGAGAGTCCAGCGTCAGAAAAACCATAAACCACGGTCTCATAATCCTGCTGTGTTAATATTCAGTCAGTCCTGGATCAGGCCTGGATCAGTCCTGGTTCAGTCCTCCTAAGACCTGGTTCAGTCCTGAGACCTGGATCAGTCCTGGTTCAGTCCTGAGACCTGGATCGGTCCTGGTTCAGTCCTCCTAAGACCTGGTTCAGTCCTGAGACCTGGATCAGTCCTGGTTCAGTCCTGAGACCTGGATCGGTCCTGGATCAGTCCTGAGACCTGGTTCTGTCCTGAGACCAGGTTCGGTCATAAGACCCGGTTAATGAACCATGAATCACACACTAATTAGCACTTAAGCAGCTGTTTATTAATGAGGGCTAAAGTATATGAATTTATCTTCTATATACAATAAACACAGTGGTTAGAGCGAGTGCCCCACGGCAAGAAGGTCATGGGTTCGATTCCACCAGGCCTCTCTGAGTGGAGTTTGCATGTTCTACCTGAGTCTGTGTTAGCATTGTCCATCTGTATACAGTCTATGTTAGCATTAGCATCAGTATATAGTTTGTGTTAGCATTGTCCATCTGTATACAGTCTGTGTTAGCATTAGCATCTGTATACAGTCTATGTTAGCATTAGCATCAGTATATAGTTTGTGTTAGCATTGTCCATCTGTATACAGTCTGTGTTAGCATTGTCCATCTGTATACAGTCTATGTTAGCATTAGCATCAGTATATAGTTTGTGTTAGCATTGTCCATCTGTATACAGTCTGTGTTAGCATTAGCATCTGTATACAGTCTATGTTAGCATTAGCATCAGTATATAGTTTGTGTTAGCATTGTCCATCTGTATACAGTCTGTGTTAGCATTGTCCATCTGTATACAGTCTGTGTTAGCATTAGCATCAGTATATAGTTTGTGTTAGCATTGTCCATCTGTATACAGTCTGTGTTAGCATTGTCCATCTGTATACAGTCTGTGTTAGCATTAGCATCAGTATATAGTTTGTGTTAGCATTAGCATCTGTATACAGTCTGTGTTAGCATTAGCATCTGTATACAGTCTGTGTTAGCATTGTCCATCTGTATACAGTCTGTGTTAGCATTAGCATCTGTATATAGTCTGTGTTAGCATTAGCATCTGTATACAGTCTGTGTTAGCATTAGCATCTGTATACAGTCTGTGTTAGCATTGTCCATCTGTATACAGTCTGTGTTAGCATTAGCATCTGTATACAGTCTGTGTTAGCATTAGCATCTGTATACAGTCTGTGTTAGCATTGGCATCAGTATATAGTTTGTGTTAGCATTAGCATCTGTATACAGTCTGTGTTAGCATTAGCATCTGTATATAGTCTGTGTTAGCATTAGCATCTGTATACAGTCTGTGTTAGCATTAGCATCTGTATATAGTCTGTGTTAGCATTAGCATCTGTATACAGTCTGTGTAGCATTGTCCATCTGTATACAGTCTGTGTTAGCATTGTCCATCTGTATACAGTCTGTGTTAGCATTAGCATCTGTATACAGTCTGTGTTAGCATGTAGCATCTGTATACAGTCTGTGTTAGCATTAGCATCTGTATACAGTCTGTGTTAGCATTAGCATCTGTATACAGTCTGTGTTAGCATTAGCATCTGTATACAGTCTGTGTTAGCATTAGTATCTGTATACAGTCTGAATAACACTACTGGCTTACATTACTCTACATTACTTTACATTACTCTACATTACTTTACATTACTCTAAATTGCTCTACATTGCTCTACATTACTCTACATTACTCTACATTACTTTACATTACTCTACATTGCTCTACATTACTTTACATTACTATACATTGCTCTACATTGCTCTACATTACTCTACATTGCTCTACATTACTCTACATTACTATACATTACTCTACATTGCTCTACATTGCTCTACATTACTCTACATTACTTTACATTACTCTACATTGCTCTACATTACTCTACATTACTTTACATTACTCTACATTGCTCTACATTGCTCTACATTACTCTATATTACTCTACATTACTTTACATTGCTCTACATTACTCTACATTACTCTCCATTACTCTCCATTACTGTACATTGCTCTACATTACTCTACATTACTCTACATTTCTCTACATTACTTTACTGTACATTACTCTACATTACTCTACATTTCTCTACATTACTCTACATTTCTCTACATTTCTCTACATTACTCTACATTACTCTACATTACTATACATTACTCTACATTGCTCTACATTGCTCTACATTACTCTACATTACTTTACATTACTCTACATTGCTCTACATTACTCTACATTACTTTACATTACTCTACATTGCTCTACATTGCTCTACATTACTCTATATTACTCTACATTACTTTACATTGCTCTACATTACTCTACATTACTCTCCATTACTCTCCATTACTGTACATTGCTCTACATTACTCTACATTTCTCTACATTACTTTACTGTACATTACTCTACATTACTCTACATTGCTCTACATTACTCTCCATTACTCTCCATTACTGTACATTGCTCTACATTACTCTACATTACTCTACATCACTCTACATTACTCTACATTACTCTACATTTCTCTACATTTCTCTACATTACTCTACATTTCTCTACATTTCTCTACATTACTCTACATTACTGTACATTTCTCTACATTACTTTACATTACTCTACATTTCTCTACATTTCTCTACATTTCTCTACATTACTCTACATTACTCTACATTACTTTACATTGCTCTACATTGCTCTACATTTCTCTACATTACTGTACATTTCTCTACATTACTCTACATTACTCTACATGGCTCTTCTTGTGCTGATGTAGGCTGCAGTGATCTTTGAGGAGCCTCTTGTTTGCGTCACGATCCTTCCGTCCAATGAAACGCTCCGAAAGGCCTTCTCGATGACTGTTATAGGAATGAACTCTCCGTCCTCGGCTCCTGCAGGTGTGAAGAGCAGGGGCCGCTCCATAATGTGTCACGTCACATCACGTTAGCTTCACATTAGCCACAGCATATTTCCCTCCTGTCGCCGCTGACAGGGTTAAGACTGTCACTGCTCTGAGGACGAGTGATGTCACATGTTTAGCATCAGAGAATGTCAAGAGAATGTTTCTTTTCTTTAGTTCATTTACTGTACATGTAGACAGACTGGTCCAGTGTGTAGTGATGCGGTCGGGAGCAGCGTCTGCAGACAGAGCTCTCCCTCAACTCTGGTCCTGGCCAGTGCACACAGATACACACACACACAAAGACAAACACTCAGACACACACACACAGACAAACACATTTATATACAGACACACAGACAGACAAAAAAACACAAACAGACACACACTTACGCACACACATGCACAAACAGTTACACACGGAGATACCACAATCTCCCACACACAGACAGACATACATTCACACACACACACACACACACACACACACCTGCACTCTAAAACACGTACACACACAGACATAACCACACACACACAAATGGACACTCTCACACACATATACACACACACACACACACACTCACACACACAGACACACACACACAGAGACACGCACACACACAGACACACACACACACAGACACACACACAGACACACACACACAGACACACACACAGACACACACACACAGACACACGCACACACAGACACACACACACAGACACACACACAGACACACACACACAGAGACACGCACACACACAGACACACACACACACAGACACACACACACAGACACACACACAGACACACACACAGACACACACACACAGACACACGCACACACAGACACACACACACAGACACACACACACAGACACACACACAGACACACACACAGACACACACACACACACAGAGACACACACACAGACACACACACACACACAGAGACACACACAGAGACACACACACACACACACACACACAGACACACACACCTGTCAGGTCCAGGCTTTTACTGTCAGTGGAACAGGTGCGACTCTGAGCTGCTGCAGGCGGTGACATCACCTGAGACTGCGGAGGGCGCCTCTAATGTGGTCTGACAGATCTCACAGCCTCAGTCCTGGGTCTACAGCCTCAGTCCCGGGTCTACAGCCTCAGTCCTGGGTCTACAGCCTCAGTCCTGGGTCTACAGCCTCAGTCCCGGGTCTACAGCCTCAGTCCTGGGTCTACAGCCTCAGTCCTGGGTCTACAGCCTCAGTCCTGGGTCTACAGCCTCAGTCCTGGGTCTACAGCCTCAGTCCTGGGTCTACAGCCTCAGTCCCGGGTCTACAGCCTCAGTCCTGGGTCTACAGCCTCAGTCCTGGGTCTACAGCCTTAGTCCTGGGTCTACAGCCTCAGTCCTGGGTCTACAGCCTCAGTCCTGGGTCTACAGCCTCAGTCCCGGGTCTACAGCCTCAGTCCTGGGTCTACAGCCTCAGTCCTGGGTCTACAGCCTCAGTCCCGGGTCTACAGCCTCAGTCCTGGGTCTACAGCCTCAGTCCTGGGTCTACAGCCTCAGTCCTGGGTCTACAGCCTCAGCCCTGGGTCTACAGCCTCAGTCCTGGGTCTACAGCCTCAGTCTTGGGTCCAACCTCCTCTGCAGTAGTTTCCTTGATGCAGAGTCTCTTTGTTTTTGTTTTTCTCTTCATTAATTGATTTGTTTCTGCTCTGTTTCTTGTGGGAGCTGTCTGACTGACAGATCTGCATCTGCTCCCCAGCCCCTCTCTGGTCTCTCTCTCTCTCTGGCCTCCCTTTCCGGTCTTCCTCTGTTCTCTCTCTATGGTCGCTCTCTGGTGTCTCTCTCTGGTCTCTCTCTGGTGTCTCTCTCTGGCCCCTCTCTCTGGTCTCTCTCTGGTCTCTCTCGCTGGTCTCTCTCTTGTCTCTCTTTCTGGTCTCTCTCTCTGGTCTCTCTCTGGTCTCTCTCTGGTCTCTCTCTCTCTCTGGCCTCCCCTTCCGGTCTTCCTCTGTTCTCTTTCTATGGTCTCTCTCTGGTCTCTCTCTCCGGTCTCTCTCTCCGGTCTCTCTCTCTCTGGTCTCTCTCTCTGGTCTCTCTCTCTGGTCTCTCTCTGGTCTCTCTCTCTGGTCTCTCTCTGGCTTCTCTCTCTGGTCTCTCTCTGGTCTCTCTCCCTAGTCTCTCTGGTCTCTCTCTGGTCTCTCTCTCTGGTCTCTCTCTGGTCTCTCTCTGGTCTCTCTCTGGTCTCCCTCTGGTCTCTCTCTCTGGTCTCTCTCTGGTCTCTCTCTGGTCTTCCTCTGGCCTCTCTCTGGTCTCTGTCTGGTCTCTCTCTCTGGTCTCTCTCTGGCTTCTCTCTCTGGTCTCTCTCTGGTCTCTCTCCCTAGTCTCTCTGGTCTCTCTCTGGTCTCTCTCTCTGGTCTCTCTCTGGCGGGGACAAATAAGACAAGTCCTAGAGAAAAATGGTGGACCCTCAAGCGGACAGAAAACGGGGGGGGGACTTAAGGGGTGCGGCCGGGGGGGCGCAGGAGAGGGGGGGGGAGGGACGACAAAGCGCCGAAGACGAAAGCACTCCACGAGGGAAGAAGTAGAAGGGCGGGAACGCGGGGATCAGGGACAAAAGAGGGGGAGAGGAAAGGGGCCGAGGACAAGAGGGGGAAAGGAGAAAAGAGATATGAAAGCACAAAAGAGGAGGGAAGGGGGAAAAAAGGCGGAAGGGACACCCACGGGGAAGGACAATCAACCCCAAACAAAAAACGAATCCAAAAAAAAAAAGCAAGGGAGGAGGAACTGAAAAACAGAAAAAAATAGACGGGGGGAAACAAAGGGGGCAGACAAAAAAAGGCTATAACACACATGATAATCACAACAATAAGTAAAAAGAAAAAATCAGAAAGGGCGGACTCATAAAACAGACCCCCCAGAGACAGGGGGAGGAGACGCCACCAGTCATGACGAGAGAAGCGGGAGAGGAGGACACCGGGGGCGAGCGGAGAACTGTAGCGATAAGGAGGTGGCGTGCCCGGGGGCGGAGAGCCGAAGAGACGAGAGTGAGTTCGGGATTGCGAGCGAGAGGCGGAGAGGGAGAGAGACAACCACGAGACACACAGGACGAAGAAGCGAGGAGAGGAGGAGCCGATGAGTGGGGGAGGGAGGAGGGGAGTGGAGAAGATGGGACCAGAAGTGCGAGCCCAAGGGCGCGCGAGCAGAGGATCGAGAGAAGGACTTGAGACGATGAGAGGGAGACCCAGGAGAACGGAACGACGGAGGGAGGACGAGATGAAGGGAAGATCCCAGAGAGGAGAGACGACCAGAGAGAGACCAGAGGAAAGAGAGAAGAGATAAACCAGAGGAGAGACACCAGAGGAGAGAGAGACCAGAGAGAGACCAGATAAAGAGAGATGAGAGGAGAGAGACCAGAGAGAGAGACCAGAGGAGAGAGACGAGAAGAGAGAGACCAGAGGAAAAAGAGGAGAGAGACCAGAGGAGAGAGAGACCAGAGGAGAGAGACCAGAGGAGAGAGACCAGATGAGAGAGACCAGAGGAGTTAGAGGAGAGGAGAGAAGCCAGCAAGAGAGCAGAGAGACCAGAGAGAGAGACCAGAGAGAGACCAAAGGAGAAGAGACAAGAGAGAGTCTAGAGTGAGACCATAGTGAGACCGGAGAGAGAGCAGGGAGAGAGTAGAGAGAGACCAGAGAGAGAGAGACCAGAGAGACACCAGAGAGAGAGCGTGCTACAGTGACAGACCTGATCATAGATCTTCCTGGTTCCTTCCTGGTTCTTTCCTGGTGTGGGAAACTCCTTGTACACAAACAGAGGAGCGACTCTTTAATTGCAGCATCAAAGGCAAACAAGGCTTAGGCCAAACAAAAGAAGCAATTAAAACTTGAAGGCTTAATTACTGCTTGTATCACCGTCTGCCGCTGCTAATGCCGCCGCCGCTAATGCCGCCGCCGCTAATGCCGCCGCTGCCGCAACACACACTTTGGAGTTTCTTGGTGCAATTAGGGGCCTTAGGTGGAGCTTAGGGCGTGAGCAAACACCGGGGCTGGAGATGTCTTCAAAGCGGCCATTGTTCCTTTGTGCCGAGAGCCGGTGAATCACAACACACCTCTGCTGCTAATGCTACATGTGATGCTAACCACAGAGCGCTGCGTGTATACAGGTGGACAATGCTAACCCACTAGCTCCATGCTAAAGCGCTAGTTCATTGCTAAAGCGCTAGTTAAATGGAGAGAGAGAGACCAGAGAGAGAGGGAGAAGGGGAGAAACCGGACAAAGAAAGTGACCACGGAGAGACTGGAGAGAGACCAGAAAGAGACCAGAGGAGACACCTAAGAGAGAGAGACCAGAGAGAGACCAGGGACCAGAGAGAGAATAGAGACCAGAGAGAGAGCAGAGATCGACCAGAGAGAGACCAGAGAGAGACCAGAAAGAGACCAGAGAGAGCAGAGATCGACCAGAGAGAAACCAGAGAGAGACCAGAAAGAGACCAGAGAGAGACCAGAAAGACACCAGGGACCAGAGAAAGAATAGAGACCAGAGAGAAACCAGGGAGAGAGACCAGAGAGAGACCAGAGAGAGACAAAAGAGAGACCAGAGAGAAGAGACCAGAGAGAAGAGAGAGACCAGAGAGAGAGACCATAGAGAAGAGAGAGACCAGGGAGAGAGGGGAGACCAGAGAGAGACCAGGGAGAGAGTGACCAGAGAGAGAGAGACCAGTGAACACGCCGGCCTCCATTACAGCGCTAAGCTAACGCCATCAGAACAAATGCCCATATAAGGAAAGTGGCTCTAGCTTAAGTTAAAAAGCTAACGCTGTGATGTCACACTCTGTCCTCTCTTTGTTCCCCTTTGACTCTCCTGCGGTGACGGGGTGCTCTCTCACCGCCCACTGGTCTTCAGGGGACACCAGCTGTGACAGAGGACCAGCACAGACGGTGTGAAATGGTGCGATCCATCATGGCTCCGCCCCCTCACCGTTCCGGAACGCCGCGGAATTAACCAGTGTTTTACGGTTTCTGCGACGGCGGATTTGAGGGACTCAGAGCGGCGTGTGCAGCCATCGCTCACTGGTCCTGAGGGAAAGAGACGCATTTAGGATGGTATTTATGGTTCTACGAGATCAGAGGACCAGAAAGAGACCAGAGAGAGAGGAGGGACCGGAGAGAGATCCCTCTGGTCTCTCTCTGGTCTCTCCCTGGTCTCTCTCTCTGGTCTCTCTCTGGTCTCTCCCTGGTCTCTCTCTCTGGTCTCTCTCTGGTCTCTCCCTGGTCTCTCTCTCTGGTCTCTCTCTGGTCTCTCTCTGGTCTCTCTCGGTCTCTCTCTGGTCTCTCTCTGGTCTTCTCTCTCTGATCTCTCCCTGGTCTCTCTCTGGTCTCTCTCTGGTCTCTCTCTGGTCTCTCTCTGGTCTCTCTCTGGTCTCTCTCTGGTCTCTCTCTGGTCTCTCTCTGGTCTCTCTCTCTGGTCTCTCTCTGGTCTCTCTTTCTCTCTGGTCTCTCTCTGGTCTCTCTCTCTGGTCTCTCTCTGGTCTCTCTCTCTGGTCTCTCTCTGGTCTCTCTCCCTGGTCTCTCTCTCTGGTCTCTCTCTGGTCTCTCTCTGGTCTCTCTCTGGTCTCTCTCTGGTCTCTCTCTCTGATCTCTCCCTGGTCTCTCTCGGTCTCTCTGGTCTCTCTCTGGTCTCTCTCTGGTCTCTCTCTGGTCTCTCTCTGGTCTCTCTCTGGTCTCTCTCTGGTCTCTCTCTGGTCTCTCTCTCTGGTCTCTCTCTGGTCTCTCTTTCTCTCTGGTCTCTCTCTGGTCTCTCTCTGGTGTCTCTCTGGTCTCTCTCTGGTCTCTCTCTGGTCTCTCTCTGGTCTCTCTCTGGTCTCTCTCTGGTCTCTCTCTGGTCTCTCTCTGGTGTGTGTATCTTGTTTGTATCTTGTGACCTGAAACGATTCTCTACAATCTGTTTTTCGCTTCGACGTTGAGACTGAAAACCCGCCAACAGTTGGATTCCGTCCAACGCCAAAAGTGGAAATAAGCAGTGGATACTGAAACTATGTGTCAGAAACCAGAGAGAGAGAGAGAGAGAGACCAGAGAGAGAGAGAGAGAGAGAGACCAGAGAGAGACCAGAGAGAGACCAGAGAGAGAGACCAGAGAGAGACCAGAGAGAGACCAGAGAGAGAGAGAGAGAGAGAGACCAGAGAGAGACCAGAGAGAGACCAGAGATAGACCAGAGAGAGAGACCAGAGAGAGACCAGAGAGAGACCAGAGATAGACCAGAGAGAGAGACCAGAGAGAGCGAGAGAGAGAGAGACCAGAGAGCGAGAGAGAAAAAGACCAGAGAGAAAGAGCTAGAGAGAGACCAGAGAGAGAGAGAGAGAGAAAGACCAGAGAGAAAGAGCTAGAGAGAGAGAGACCAGAGAGAGAGAGAGAGAGAGACCAGAGAGAGACCAGAGAGAGACCAGAGATAGACCAGAGAGAGAGACCAGAGAGAGACCAGAGAGAGACCAGAGATAGACCAGAGAGAGAGACCAGAGAGAGAGACCAGAGAGAGAGACCAGAGAGCGAGAGAGAGAAAGACCAGAGAGAAAGAGCTAGAGAGAGAGAGACCAGAGAGAGAGAGAGAGAGAGACCAGAGAGAGACCAGAGAGAGACCAGAGATAGACCAGAGAGAGAGACCAGAGAGAGACCAGAGATAGACCAGAGAGAGAGACCAGAGATAGACCAGAGATAGACCAGAGAGAGAGACCAGAGAGAGCGAGAGAGAGAGAGACCAGAGAGCGAGAGAGAGAAAGACCAGAGAGAAAGAGCTAGAGAGAGAGAGACCAGAGAGAGAGACCAGAGAGAGCGACCAGAGAGAGACCAGCCTTCGGCCTCAGTCTCTCTCACAGTCTTCGGCCTCAGTCTCTCTCACAGTCTTCGGCCTCAGTCTCTCTCACGGTCTTCGGCCTCAGTCTCTCTCACAGTCTTCGGCCTCAGTCTCTCTCTCAAAGTCTTCGACCTCAGTCTTTCTCACAGTCTTCTGCCTCAGTCTCTCTGACGGTCTTCGGTCTCAGTCTCTCTCACAGTCTTCGGCCTCAGTCTGACGGTCTTCGGCCTCAGCGTTGGGGGACTGTGGGGTTGAGGACACAGCCCGCGGCGCTCTCTGCAAATCCTGCTCAGTCTCCTAATTGTGCCGCGGCCGGACGTCTGCCTCGACACGAACACTGCGGGTCTTCACTCCAGCTTCAAGGCTCGTCCTGGTCCCGGGGGAAGGCTCCGGCTGCAGCTGCCGTCACGGGCTTCTCCCAATCAACACATCAAACACTCGACCCGAAGACCTGAGGACCCCGAAGACACGCATCTGCTGAAATCAAACACATTATGTTTGAGAAGTGTTTCAGTAGCAATGTCACTTTGAAACATTTGTTACAGCTTCATCTTTAACAAATATGTTTAAAATAATATGTTTCAGTGAAGACCCGTTTAAAATAATATGTTTCAGTGAAGACCCATTTAAAATTATATGTTTCTGTGAAGACCCGTTTAAAATTATATGTTTCTGTGAAGACCCGTTTAAAATTTTATGTTTAGGTGAAGCTCCCGTTTGAAATAATATGTTTCAGTGAAGACCCATTTGAAATAATATGTTTCTGTGAAGACCCGTTTAAAATAATATGTTTCAGTGAAGACCCGTTTAAAATTATATGTTTCTGTGAAGACCCGTTTAAAATTATATGTTTCTGTGAAGACCCGTTTAAAATTTTATGTTTAGGTGAAGCTCCCGTTTGAAATAATATGTTTCAGTGAAGACCCATTTGAAATAATATGTTTCTGTGAAGACCCGTTTAAAAGAATATGTTTCTGTGAAAACCTGTTTAAAAGAACCACAGTGAATAAAAAACTTTTTTCAAATTTTTAAATATTTATTTTGTTTCCGATCTTTTAAAGCAGCATTTATTTATGTGGACGATGTTTATTTATTTATTTACATCTCCCCCCCCCCTCCTCCCCCTCCTCCCCCCCCTCCTCCCCCTCCTCTCTCTGTGGAGGAGCACAGCGGTGAATACTGAGCAGCGGCTTTAGCTCGGGCCTTTTTGCCGACGCCTCAGGTTTAGTGCAACTGTTCTTTCTGTCGCAACATCTGCCTCCCTCTCACCCTCCCCCTCACCCTCCCTCTATGTCTCCCTCTCTGTCTCCCTCTATGTCTCCCTCTATGTCTCCCCCTCTGCCTCCCCCTCTGCCTCCCCCTCTGCTTCCCCCCCCTGTCTCCCCCTCTGCCTCCCCCTCTGTCTCACCCTCCCTCTCTGCCTCCCCCTCTGTCTCCCCCCCACCCTCCCCCTCACACTCTGTCTCCCCCTCTGTCTCCCCCTCTGCCTCCCCCTCTGAATCAGAGACCATCAGAGACCATCAGAGACAAGAGACCATCAGAGACCATCAGAAACCAGAGACCAGAGACCATCAGAGACCAGAGAACATCAGAGACCAGAGAACATCAGAGACCATCAGAGACCATCAGAGACCATCAGAGACCAGAGAACATCAGAGACCATCAGAGAACATCAGAGACCATCAGAGACCAGAGAACATCAGAGACCATCAGAGACCAGAAACCATCAGAGACCAGAGACCATCAGAGACCAGAGACCATCAGAGACCAGAGAACATCAGAGACCAGAGACCACCAGAGACCATCAGAGACCAGAAACCAGAGACCACCAGAGACCATCAGAGACCAGAGACCAGAGACCATCAGAGACCATCAGAGACAAGAGACCATCAGAGACCAGAGACCATCAGAGACCAGAGACCACCAGAGACCATCAGAAACCAGAAACCAGAGACCACCAGAGACCATCAGAGACCAGAGACCAGAGACCATCAGAGACCATCAGAGACCATCAGAGACAAGAGACCATCAGAGACCAGAGACCATCAGAGACCAGAGAACATCAGAGACCAGAGAACACCAGAGACCATCAGAGACCATCAGAGACCAGAGAACATCAGAGACCATCAGAGAACATCAGAGACCAGAGACCATCAGAGACCAGAGAACATCAGAGACCATCAGAGACCAGAAACCATCAGAGACCAGAGACCAGAGAACATCAGAGACCAGAGACCATCAGAGACCAGAAACCAGAGACCACCAGAGACCATCAGAGACCAGAGACCAGAGACCATCAGAGACCATCAGAGACCAGAGAACATCAGAGACCAGAGACCATCAGAGACCATCAGAGACCAGAGACCATCAGAGACCAGAGAACATCAGAGACCAGAGACCATCAGAGACCAGAGAACATCAGAGACCAGAGACCATCAGAGATCAGAGACCATCAGAGACCAGAGACCATCAGAGACCATCAGACACCAGAGACCATCAGAGACCAGAGAGCAGAGACCATCAGAGACCAGAGACCAGACCCAGAGACCACCAGAGACCATCAGAGACCAGAGACCAGACCCAGAGACCACCAGAGACCATCAGAGACCATCAGAGACCAGAGACCAGACCCAGAGGCCACCAGAGACCATCAGAGACCAGAGACCAGACCCAGAGGCCACCAGAGACCATAAGAGACCAGAGACCATCAGAGATCAGAGACAACCAGAGACCATCAGAGACCAGAGACCATCAGAGACCATCAGAGACCAGAGACCAGAGACCACCAGAGACCATCAGAGACCATCAGAGACCACAAGAGACCATCAGAGACCAGAGAGCAGAGACCATCAGAGACCATCAGAGACCAGAGACCAGAGACCACCAGAGACCATCAGAGACCATCAGAGACCATCAGAGACCATCAGAGACCACCAGAGACCATCAGAGACCAGAGACCATCAGAGACCAGAGACCAGACCCAGAGACCATCAGAGACCAGAGACCACCAGAGACCATCAGAGACCAGAGACCATCAGAAACCAGAGACCAGACCCAGAGACCACCAGAGACCATCAGAGACCAGACCCAGAGACCACCAGAGACCATCAGAGACCAGAGACCATCAGAGACCAGACCCAGAGACCACCAGAGACCATCAGAGACCATCAGAGACCATCAGAGACCAGACCCAGAGACCACCAGAGACCATCAGAGACCATCAGGGACCAGAGACCAGAGACCACCAGAGACCAGAGACCATGAGAGACCATCAGAGACCAGACCCAGAGACCACCAGAGACCACCAGAGACCATCAGAGACCAGACCTAGAGACCAGAGACCTGGAGCTTGTCATAGATAATGAGGCATAATGAGCAGAATATAAATTGGATGTTTAACAAAAGTAAAAACTCATGAATGCGTTCGTCCCGACGGGTCGTGGCGCCGATAATCGATCCCAGCGGCGCCGCGGTGAACGCCGCGGTGCACGGCGGGAACAGACTTAAACACAGACGTACAGACGTTCCGGCGCCTGATCGATGAGCAGCTCATTGATTGGTCGATCATTTCCATATAAAGCAGGCGCTAAATATGCGAGTAATTTCAGCGCGGCGCCGTGAGACAACATCACGGCAGATTAACACGGGACGCGGTGAACGGGCGCCATCTTTAATGTCACCTCATTATTAAACATTCAGATTATTTGCAGTAAAACCACTTTGGAAAAAGTCTGCTCCAGTTTTCATTGTTCTGACTCTGTTACGAAAACAAGACACTTTAATGTAATCTGATCCGATCTAATCTAAACTAATCTGATCCGATCTAATCTAAACTAATCTGATCCGATCTAATCTAAACTAATCTGATCCGATCTGATCTAAACTAATCTGATCCGATCTAATCTAAACTAATCTGATCCGATCTAATCCAAACTAATCTGATATAATCTGATCCGATCTAATCTAAACTAATCTGATCCGATCTAATCTAAACTAATCTGATCCGATCTAATCCAAACTAATCTGATATAATCTGATCCGATCTAATCTAAACTAATCTGATCCGATCTAATTAAACTAATCTGATCCGATCTAATCTAAACTAATCTGATCCGATCTTATCTAAACTAATCTGATCCGATCTAATCTACACTAATCTGATCCAGTGTTTGATGTTCAGGACCAAGCACTTCAGGACCAAGCACTACAGGACCAAGCACTTCAGGACCAAGCACTTCAGGACCAAGCACTACAGGACCAAGCACTACAGGACCAAGCACTTCAGGACCAAGCACTACAGGACCAAGCACTACAGGACCAAGCACTACAGGACCAAGCACTTCAGGACCAAGCACTTCAGGACCAAGCACTACAGGACCAAGCACTTCAGGACCAAGCACTACAGGACCAAGCACTTCAGGACCAAGCACTTCAGGACCAAGCACTAAAGGACCAAGCACTTCAGGACCAAGCACTTCAGGACCAAGCACTTCAGGACCAAGCACTACAGGACCAAGCACTACAGGACCAAGCACTTCAGGACCAAGCACTTCAGGACCAAGCACTAAAGGACCAAGCACTTCAGGACCAAGCACTTCAGGACCAAGCACTTCAGGACCAAGCACTACAGGACCAAGCACTTCAGGACCAAGCACTTCAGGACCAAGCACTAAAGGACCAAGCACTTCAGGACCAAGCACTTCAGGACCAAGCACTACAGGACCAAGCACTACAGGACCAAGCACTACAGGACCAAGCACTACAGGACCAAGCACTTCAGGACCAAGCACTTCAGGACCAAGCACTACAGGACCAAGCACTTCAGGACCAAGCACTTCAGGACCAAGCACTAAAGGACCAAGCACTTCAGGACCAAGCACTTTAGGACCAAGCACTAAAGGACCAAGCACTTCAGGACCAAGCACTACAGGACCAAGCACTACAGGACCAAGCACTACAGGACCAAGCACTACAGGACCAAGCACTACAGGACCAAGCACTTTAGGACCAAGCACTAAAGGACCAAGTACTTCAGGACCAAGTACTTCAGGACCAAGTACTTTATTGTAACATCAACATTGTAACGACAGTTCTTCAGTGATATCATTAAGACAATGACTCAATATAGAAAAAAAGTTTTATTTTTAAAACAGATTATAAAATAACATGTGAACATTTGGTTTAGAGTGAAAATAACAACAAACTGTAGTAGATAACTGGGCATGCTCATTGAGAGCCTTGGGGCCGTGTGCAGAGGTGTAAAGTGTGAGCATGCTCATTGAGAGCCTTGGGGCCGTGTGCAGAGGTGTAAAGTGTGAGCATGCTCAGTGAGAGCCTTGGGGCCGTGTGCAGAGGTGTAAAGTGTGAGCATGCTCAGTGAGAGCCTTGGGGCCGTGTGCAGAGGTGTAAAGTGTGAGCATGCTCAGTGAGAGCCTTGGGGCCGTGTGCAGAGGTGTAAAGTGTGAGCATGCTCAGTGAGAGCCTTGGGGCCGTGTGCAGAGGTGTAAAGTTACTCACCGTAACCCCCAGAGAGCGGTTATTTACTGACTGTCTCTGAGAAAAGAGAAAACATGAAGAGAAAGACATGTTAAAGAACGTTGTCTCGTTATGCTACGCTAATTGTAGCGTTATGCTACGCTAACAGTACCGTTATGCTACGTTTCATTGTATGTAACATTTGTTACACCACACGGGTAGTACATGCTAAAAAACACATGTATGAACTTACACTTACATGGGCACTTTTTGGACCCGACGATCCAGACCCGACGATCCAGACCCGACGATCCAGACCCGACGATCCAGACCCGACGATCCAGACCCGACGATCCAGACCCGACGATCCAGACCCGACGATCCAGACCAGACGATCCAGACCCGATGATCCAGAACCAATGATCCAGACCCGACGATCCAGACCCGACGATCCAGACCCATCGATCCAGACCCGACGATCCAGACCCGACGATCCAGACCCATCGATCCAGACCCGAGGCTCCGACTGTCGCAATTTTCCTTGGATTCAGATTCAGATTCAGTTTTATTTGCCATTTGCAGTAAAACCACATTGGAATACATTAGCAAAAGTCTCCAGTGTGCACAGACAAATACAGACAATAAAAGACAAAAATAAAACAAATAAAACAGTAAACAAATGTCACTGTGAAATGGATCGACTAAAACAGTTTCAAAACAAGTGCAAATCATTAAAGTGCTCTGTTCACACTGATAACAGCCTGTGGATAAAAACTGTTAGCGTAACGAGATGTCCTGCATCTCAGAGAGCGATATCTTCTGCCAGAGGGAAGAAGCTGGAACATGGCTTTCCCAGGGTGGCCAGAAGAGTCATTAACAATCCTAAGAGCTTTGTTTAAAAGTGTGGATTTATAAAGAACCTCCAGAACAGGAAGCTCACAGCCCACGGTCCTCTTTGCAGAGCGGAGCACCTTGTTTAAAGCTCTCTTTTCTTTATCTGTGATGTTTCCAAACCACAGACACAGAACCAACAAGTAAACTCTCAATGGTTCAGCCATAAAAGTTAAGCACAATCTTAGAGTTAGTGGTAAATTCTCTAAGTTTACGCAGAAAGTAGAGACGCTGACGAGCTTTCTTAACGACTCGGTCAGTGTTTTTAACCCATTTCAGGTTAGACAGAGTTAACACATGTCACACACATGTGTCATGTGACTGTTACACATGGGACACAGGATACAGAGACACAGGGACAGAGATACAGGGACAGAGACACAGGGACAGAGACACAGGTACAGAGACACAGGGACACAGAGACACAGGGACAGGGACACAGGTACAGAGACACAGGGACAGGGACACAGAGACACAGGGACAGGGACACAGAGACATAGGGACAGAGACACAGGGACAGAGACACAGGGACAGAGACACAGGGACAGAGACACAGGTACAGAGACACAGGGACACAGAGACACAGGTACAGAGACACAGGGACACAGAGACACAGGGACACAGAGACACAGGTACAGAGACACAGGGACACAGAGACACAGGTACAGAGACACAGGGGGACAGAGACACAGGACAGGACACAGGTACAGGGACACAGGTACAGAGACACAGGGACAGAGACACAGGGACAGGGACACAGGTACAGAGACACAGGGACAGAGACACAGGGACAGGGACACAGAGACACAGGGACAGCGACACAGGGACACAGAGACACAGGGACACAAAGACACAGGGACAGGGACACAGGTACAGAGACACAGGGACAGAGACACAGGGACAGGGACACAAAGACACAGGGACACAGGGACAGCGACACAGGGACAGAGACACAGGGACAGAGACACAGGGACACAGAGACACAGACACAGGGACACAGGGACAGAGACACAGGGACACAGGGACACAGAGACACAGGGACAGAGACACAGGGACACAGGGACACAGAGACACAGGGACAGAGATGCAGGGACACAGGGACAGAGACACAGACACAGGGACACAGGGACACAGAGACGCAGGGACACAGGGACACAGAGACACAGGGACAGAGACACAGGGACAGAGACACAGGGACACAGAGACACAGGGACAGAGACACAGGGACACAGGGACACAGAGACACAGGGACAGAGACACAGGGACAGGGACACAGGTACAGAGACACAGGGACACAGAGACACAGACACAGGGACACAGGGACAGAGACACAGGGACACAGGGACACAGAGACACAGGGACAGAGACACAGGGACAGAGACACAGAGACACAGGGACACAGGGACAGAGACACAGGGACACAGGGACACAGAGACACAGGGACAGAGACACAGGGACAGAGACACAGGGACAGAGACACAGAGACACAGGGACACAGGGACAGAGACACAGGGACACAGAGACACAGACACAGGGACACAGAGACGCAGGGACACAAAGACACAGACACAGGGACACAGAGACGCAGGGACACAGAGACACAGGGACAGGGACACAGGTACAGCGACACAGGGACAGGGACAAAGGTACAGAGGGACGTCCTGCTGCAGAAGCTGTGTCTGTTTAGACGATGATCTCGTCTCATGTGAGATTAGAGTCCGCTTCTCGCTGGATCAGTCTCTAATCTAACCTCGATCCCACCTGAACCCTCTGCCACCGGGAAGTCCATCGTCACGGCGACGCCGCCTCTTCCAGCTCTAATTACAGGGATTAAGAAAAAACACTTTTGAGTCATTATTTTCACATCGGATAAACATTGGGCTCCAGTGGATTTAGCATAGCTTTGGTTGGACGAGTGTGGCAGAGCCGGGCCGAGCCGGGCAGAGCCAGGCAGAGCCGGGACGAGCCGGGCCGGCTTAGGCGCCGCAGATGGACAAAGCTTCAGGAAGACTGTGTAAATCTGTGTCATTAGTTTGTGAGTGAGTGACTTATCTATTGTACATGTTATTTTAGTGGTGGGGGAATCCGTAGCCCCCGGAGGAAACCTGAGAAGACACAGGGAGAACATGAAAACTCCACTCAGAGTCTCTCTCTGGTCTCTCTCTGGTCTCTCTCTGGTCTCTCTCTGGTCTCTCTCTGGTCTCTCTCTGGTCTCTCTCTCTGGTCTCTCTCTGGTCTCTCTCTGGTCTCTCTCTGGTCTCTCTCTCTGGTCTCTCTCTGGTCTCTCTCTGGTCTCTCTCTGGTCTCTCTCTGGTCTCTCTCTCTGGTCTCTCTCTGGTCTCTCTCTGGTCTCTCTCTCTGGTCTCTCTCTCTGTCTCTCTCTGGTCTCTCTCTGGTCTCTCTCTCTGGTCTCTCTCTGGTCTCTCTCTGGTCTCTCTCTCTGTCTCTCTCTGGTCTCTCTCTCTGGTCTCTCTCTGGTCTCTCTCTGGTCTCTCTCTGGTCTCTCTCTCTGGTCTATCACCTCCAAGTGAAAACACCTCTTGTCCAAACAAAGAAATTCAAAGTGTGTTGGGAGTCGAAGCGGCCTCTGAAGAGGAGAGACCTGGAGACGGTGACCCTGGAGACGGTGACCCTGGAGACGGTGACCCTGGAGACGGTGACCCTGGAGACGGTGACCCCAGAGTGTGTTGATATGATATTATTTCAATCGCACACAATTACAAGCTGAGATGGCATCAGAGCGACGCACACAGAGACCACACAACCTCTTTACACTGAGGATCCCCCAGAGACCAGACCTCTGCTCCTACACACACACACACATACACACACACACACACACACACACACACACACCACACACACACACACACACACACACACACACACACACACACACACACACACACACACACACACACATACACACACACACACACACACACACACACACACAAACACACATACACACACACACACACACACCACACACACACACACACACACACATACACACACACACACACTGACACACATACACACACACACACTGACACACACACACACACACACACACACACAGGGTCAGAGGTGGCCAATATTCCTCACACAGATCCTTCTCTATAATTGCATTTTAAATAGTGATACATGAAAAATTCATTGGAAAATGTTGCAGAAAGAGACCGGAGAGAGACCAGAGAGAGACCAGAGAGAGACCAGAGAGAGACCAGAGAGAGACCAGAGAGAGACCAGAGAGAGACCAGAGAGAGACCAGAGAGAGACCAGAGAGAGACCAGAGAGAGACCAGAGAGGACCAGAGAGAACCAGAGAGAGACCAGAGAGAGACCAGAGAGAGACCAGAAGAGAGAGAGAGAGACCAGAGAGAGACCAGAGAGAGAGACCAGAGAGAGACCAGAGAGAGACCAGAGAGAGACCAGAGAGAGACCAGAGAGACCAGAGAGAGAGACCAGAGAGAGACCAGAGAGAGACCAGAGAGAGAGACCAGAGAGAGAGACCAGAGAGAGAGACCAGAGAGAGACTGTAAACCCTAACTTCAATCCTACTTCAGATATCAAAGTTATTTTAAATAGATTTTTCCCAGTAAGTAGATATTACTCATTTATTGTTAGTTTATTTAAAGCTTGCCTCTGTCACTCAGGGTTTTCTTTGAATTGAACTTTTTCTGTTCAAGTAAGCATCACTTTTGACATTTTGATGTGTAGAGTCTTTAATGAGGCAGGTGTGACAATGGCAGGGTGTCCTGGTGGCTGAGTGGTTAGCACCATTGCCTCTCAACTACAGGGTTGTATGTACGAATCCTGGTCGGAGCATAAGTAGAAATTTAAACTTTATTGCAATCACTCGAGTTTACTTGGTAATATCAAGTAAACAATGTACTCGAGGAATTAAAGTGAAGTTAATACGCAATTTATTTCCATGGTTTTTTCAAGTAAACTTTACTTGTCAGGGTTTACAGTGGGGTCCCTCTCTGGCCTCTGAGGGAGCATCGTGGTCTCGTCCTCCTCCAGGACACATCTCCCAGACATTCGCGGTCCTCCAAACTCGACATTCTTTCTCGTCATCTTTGGAATGCGCAGGTAAAACCCAAACCAAATCTAATAACGCACGGACAGACTGTAGCTAGCGGCATGAGAAGACGCCGCCCAGACGTTCCCAAAGCTCTGTTGGAGGTAAAACTCCAAACACATCGGAAAGTTGTCTGTGAGGAGCGATGGGAACGCCGTCTGTGAGGAGCGATGGGAACGCCGTCTGTGAGGAGCGATGGGAACGCCGTCTGCGAGGAGCGATGGGAACGTCACGCTCCCAGCTCCGGGATCTTCAGGGCTTTGGACACACTGTAATTACCTTCTGTTTACTCTGTTTACACACATTCAAACGCAAACTTTACTCAAAGACGACCGGGGAGGGAGGCAGAGGGGAGGGGGGAGGGAGGGGGAGGCAGAGGGAAGGGGGGAGGGAGGGGGAGGCAGGGAGGGGGGAGGGAGGGGGAGGCAGAGGGGAGGGAGGTGGAAGGGAGGAGGGAGGGAGCATTGTCTGTATATCTGTATACAGTCTATGTTAGCATTAGCATCTGTATAGAGTCTGTGTTAGCATTGTCCATCTGTATACAGTCTGTGTTAGCATTAGCATCTGTATACAGTCTGTGTTAACCCGCACGCCGCGATTGGCTGTCTGTGACCCGCACGCCGCGATTGGCTGTCTGTGACCCGCACGCCGCGATTGGCTGTCTGTGACCCGCACGCCGCGATTGGCTGTCTGTGACCCGCACGCCATGTTTCACCGTCTGTGACCCGCACGCCATGTTTCACCGTCTGTGACCCGCACGCCATGTTTCACCGTCTGTGACCCGCACGCCGTGTTTCACCGTCTGTGACCCGCACGCCGTGTTTCACCGTCTGTGACCCGCACGCCGTGTTTCACCGTCTGTGACCCGCACGCCGTGTTTCACCGTCTGTGACCCGCACGCCGTGTTTCACCGTCTGTGACCCGCACGCCGTGATGGTGCAATAACACCCTCTTAGCTCCATAATCTGTTGGAATAACTTCAAATCAAGATGTCAGAAACTCCATCCGCTCTGTGGCGAAGTGACGGCGAGAGGCGGTGTTTGTGCTGCTAATCCAGCGCAGCCAGAGAAAACAAACCCTGGATCTGGGTCCTGGGTTCAGTGACCGGAGCCGGGGTCAGAGGTCAAGGCCTCGCTTCCACCGACGCATTCCAGCAGCGGCGTCTTTGATCCAGACCCACATGAAAGAAGACGTATCAGGACTTATTCTGGAGGTTCAAGAGTTTAATGAGACTGTTTTCTTTGTGGGGCTGAGATTTAGACTGGATTTAATATCGCTGTGAGAGACCAGAGGGAGACCAGAGGGAGACCAGAGGGAGACCAGAGGGAGGCCAGAGGGAGACCAGAGGGAGACCAGAGGGAGGCCAGAGGGAGACCAGAGGGAGACCAGAGGGAGGCCAGAGGGAGGCCAGAGAGAGACCAGAGGGAGACCAGAGGGAGGCCAGAGAGAGGCCAGAGAGAGAACAGAGAGAGACCAGAGAGACCAGAGAGGGACCAGAGAAACCGGTTCAGGGAGAGGGACCAGAGACCAGTTTCTCTCTCTCTCTCTGGTCTCTCTCTGGCCTCTCTCTGGCCTCCCTCTGGTCTCTCTCAGGTCTCTCTCTGGTCTCTCTCTGGTCTCCCTCTGGTCTCTCTCTGGTCTGTCTCTGGTCTCCCACTGGTCTCTCTGGTCTCCCTCTGGTCTCTCTGGTCTCTCTCTGGTCTCTCTCTGGTCTCTCTCTGGTCTCTCTGGTCTCTCTGGTCTCTCTCTGGTCTCTCTCTGGTCTCTCTCTGGTCTCTCTCTGGTCTCTCTCTGGTCTCTCTCTGGTCTCTCTCTGGTCTCTCTCTGGTCTCTCTCTGGTATCTCTCTGGTCTCTCTCTGGTCTCCCTCTGGTCTCTCTCTGGTCTCTCTCTGGTCTCTCTCTGGTCTCTCTCTGGTCTCTCTCTGGTCTCTCTCTGGTCTCTCTCTGGTCTCTCTCTGGTCTCTCTCTGGTCTCTCTCTGGTCTCTCTCTGGTCTCCCTCTGGTCTCTCTCTGGTCTCTCTCTGGTCTCCCTCTGGTCTCTCTCTGGTCTCCCTCTGGTCTCTCTTCTTCTTTGATCTTCAACATTAAACATAAACGTGGTGTGTTTTGGTAGATCCTCTTTTTCATCACTTCTAATCCCGGCCGGTTGTGGTCCTCTCTGCGACCCACAATTACACAAATATAACCTTTGCTCAACGCGCCGCTGCGCCGCATCAGCCTAATCTGCTCCAGAAATTAGAATCCATCATATTCTTTATCCAAAACAAACCGCGGCCGTCAGCGCTGACCTTTGAGCTAACCGCCTCCGCTAATAACCAGCCGCACCAGGAAGAACAGAGACCAGCAACGAGTCTAGGTTTTAATTATGCTCTGATCCTGCAGCAAATACCAGAACGGATCGATACCAGAAATATTACATCAGTCATCAACAGGATTAAGGATTAGGATTAAGGAGACAGGAGAGAGTGACAGGGAGACCAGGGAGAGACCAGTGAGAGACCAGGGAGAGACCAGGGAGAGACCAGGGAGAGACCAGGGAGAGACCAGAGAGAGACCAGGGAGAGACCAGAGAGAGACCAGAGAGAGACCAGGGAGAGACCAGTGAGAGACCAGGGAGAGACCAGAGAGAGAGACCAGTGAGAGACCAGGGAGAGACCAGGGAGAGACCAGGGAGAGACCAGGGAGAGACCAGGGAGAGACCAGGGAGAGACCAGGGAGAGACCAGGGAGAGACCAGGGAGAGACCAGGGAGAGACCAGGGAGAGACCAGGGAGAGACCAGAGAGAGACCAGAGAGAGACCAGGGAGAGACCAGGGAGAGACCAGGGAGAGACCAGGGAGAGACCAGAGAGAGACCAGAGAGAGACCAGAGGGAGACCAGAGACAGACCAGAGAGAGACCTGAGAGAGACCTGAGTGACCAGAGAGAGACCAGAGAGAGACCAGGGAGAGATCAGAGAGAGATCAGAGAGAGACCAGAGAGAGACCAGAGAGTGAGACCAGAGAGAGACCAGAGAGAGACCAGAGAGTGAGACCAGAGAGAGACTAAAGCTCCTCAAGGTGCTGGTCCCGGTTCTGGTTCTGTAGTAAGTGTTGAGACCTTTCACAGAGAGCTTCACTGTTGTCACATGTCTCTCGTCACAGATGGAGCAGGAGTCTACAGGAGGCACAAAACTATTGCACATGTTTGTAGAGGTAACAGGAGCACCTGGAGGAAACCCACGCAGACACAGGGAGAATATGCAACATGCAGCTCCAAACAGAACTTCTTGCTGTGAAACACAAGCGCTAACCACTTAGCCACCTCGAGTCTACAGCCTCAGTCCTGGGTCTATAGTCTCAGTCCTGGGTCTACAGCCTCAGTCCTGGGTCTACAGCCTCAGTCCTGGGTCTACAGCCTCAGTCCTGGGTCTACAGTCCTGGGTCTACAGCCTCAGTCCTGGGTCTACAGTCCTGGGTCTACAGCCTCAGTCCTGGGTCTACAGCCTCAGTCCTGGGTCTACAGCCTCAGTCCTGGGTCTACAGTCCTGGGTCTACAGCCTCAGTCCTGGGTCTACAGCCTCAGTCCTGGGTCTACAGCCTCAGTCCTGGGTCTACAGCCTCAGTCCTGGGTCTACAGTCCTGGGTCTACAGCCTCAGTCCTGGGTCTACAGCCTCAGTCCTGGGTCTACAGTCTCAGTCCTGGGTCTACAGCCTCAGTCCTGGGTCTACAGCCTCAGTCCTGGGTCTACAGCCTCAGTCCTGGGTCTACAGTCTCAGTCCTGGGTCTACAGTCCTGGGTCTACAGCCTCAGTCCTGGGTCTACAGCCTCAGTCCTGGGTCTACAGTCTCAGTCCTGGGTCTACAGTCCTGGGTCTACAGCCTCAGTCCTGGGTCTACAGTCTCAGTCCTGGGTCTACAGTCTCAGTCCTGGGTCTACAGCCTCAGTCCTGGGTCCTCTCCCCTCGGCCCCTCCCCTCTCTGTGAGGGTGAATGAGAATCTCGTCTTATCGCTGCAGAAGTCTCATTTGAATAAACTTTCTGAGAATTTGGTTCTTTTGTGCAACGAGCGGCAGATGGGACTCAGACAGACCCCTTGTCCTCTGAAGACCGGAGACCAGAGACCAGAGACCAGAGAGGGAGACCAGAGACCAGAGGGAAACCAGAGACCAGAGAGGGAGACCAGAGACCAGAGAGAGACCTGAGACCAGCGAGAGAGGCCTCAGACCTGAGTGAGAGTACCAGAGTGAAAGTGAAAGTAAAGTCTGCTCCTGAAAGAAGTCTAATTTGAATCTTTGTGTTTATGGTTTAGATCTTTATGTTTATGGTTTTAAAGATGGGACCATGTGTAGAAGTCAGAGCTGAGTGAGAGGTTTCTTGATGGTGTGGGTCCTATTTTCATCCAAACGATGAAGACGAAGAGGCTGTAAATCTTCCTCTTCCTCAGAAACCCTCGTGCTCCGTGGTCCTGGCTCTTTACGGTCCACGAGGGACCAGGCCGAGCCACGAGGGACCGAGCCGAGCCGCGCCAGTACAGAACAGATAAAACAATACGCTGACACTCATGGTTTTTCAAATAAAACGGCTGCGATTACTGAGGCCAATCTCTGGTCCGGACCATCAATCACACAGGACTATCAAGCACACCCAGGGGACCAGAGGGAGACCAGAGACCAGAGACTAGAGACCAGAGGGGGACCAGAGGGAGACCAGAGGGAGACGAGAGACCAGAGACTAGAGACCAGAGGGGACCAGAAGGAGACCAGAGACCAGAGACTAGAGACCAGAGGGAGACCAGAGACCAGAGACCAGAGACCAGAGGGAGACCAGAGACCCGATACTAGAGACCAGAGGGAGACCAGAGACCAGAGACAAGAGACCAGAGGGAGACCAGAGACCAGAAACTAGAGACCAGAGGGAGACCAGAGACCAGAGACAAGAGACCAGAGGGAGACCAGAGACCAGAAACTAGAGACCAGAGGGGGACCAGAGGGAGACCAGAGGGAGACGAGAGACCAGAGACTAGAGACCAGAGGGGACCAGAAGGAGACCAGAGACCAGAGACTAGAGACCAGAGGGAGACCAGAGACCAGAGACCAGAGACCAGAGGGAGACCAGAGACCCGATACTAGAGACCAGAGGGAGACCAGAGACCAGAGACAAGAGACCAGAGGGAGACCAGAGACCAGAAACTAGAGACCAGAGGGAGACCAGAGACCAGAGACAAGAGACCAGAGGGAGACCAGAGACCAGAAACTAGAGACCAGAGAGAAAAGCATCCATCTATAATAATAATAGTTTATCAATTTATAAATCCCTTTTCTCCAAACACGGTGGTGATAAACTACTACTGTAGCCACAGCTGCCCTGGGGCACACTGACAGAAGCGAGGCAACCAGTCTGTGCCATCAGCCCCTCCCACCACCACCAACCATTCACACACACACCAGACTCATTCTAATGTGGGGGAAGTGTCTTGCCTAAGGAC